TCCACATGCGTACTGATCACGTGGGATTCTGCAGGACGGTCCTAAATAACAATGATGACTACACTAAAAGTCAACTACAGGTTCGATTTGGTTTTAATTAGTGGTTTTATTTGTTAATTCACTAAAACTTAAAATCCTAATAATATTTACTTTAAAGTTCCCCTCCAAATATTATTATAGACCTATAATATTTTATTGGGGAACGAAAAACTAAAGTTTATTGCGACATGACGACAACGAACAATGACGCTCCGCTGTTTAAATTGGATAGAGCTGCGGGTAATGAGGTTGTGCATGAAGTTGTCGCGTGTTCGGGTATCAATGCATATGAGCATTAAAATTAAAGGTCTATATATAGATTTTCTCCTTAAATCGTTAAACAATCTTCAATTATCTGCAAAGAGAGAGAAAATAATTATAATTTTAGAATTAAAGTTTCATTTATTTTAATTTTGTTTTTAATTATTATTATAATAATAATTATTATATAATTTTGTTATATAATTGTTATATATATATATTTGTTATATATATACATATACATATATATATATATATATATATATATATATATATATATATTTGTATTAATTATTCTCTTAAACTCTTGTAAGAGTACATCCCTTAAGGCCCTGCAGGTGCAGGTAAATACTAAATAGTTAAACAGTGCAGCACTGTACCAATATATAACGGATATATTTCCCCCTTATAATGTAGGCACTACACTATTTTACTAAAAACAAAGATATATCTACGATGAAAGTAAGGCAAGCACCACTAAACACCTGAATGATAATTACTACGGTAATGATCAAACAGAAGTGTGATGTATGAAAACATTAAACAATTTAAAAATAATTTACAAAAGTTGCCATTATCATCCGCAGGGCGTTCGTGTTGAAGTCTCATTCAAATGCGCCGAATCTCGTGAATATCGGATCCAATGGATGGACAATACTTGGCTTACAAATGTAGTGCAAGATGCAGGCTATGCCAATCATCTCCGATGTATAATCCAAGACAGCATAAGAACTGTTTATTGACTTGGACAACTATAACTGTGGAACACGCCTGTCTATTGATCGACCAATCAAAAGCCTTTACAAACAATCCTATATAAAACTAATTTTAGAATGAAACTAGAAATTAGCATTTAGCAGCTTATATATAAGTTATAATAGATATTTGAATAGTGATCAGGTTTGAAATTTAACGCGATTATGTAAAAAAATAATAAAGATATGCCTCATGTGAATAATAAATGTGGATATAATAATGGTGATGATAAGGATAATGGTGATAAGGATAATGATGATGATGATAATAATAATAATAATAATAATAATAATAATAATAATAATAATAATAATTGTGACGATAATAATAATGGATAATAATAATAATAATAATAATAATAATAATAATAATAATAATAAATATTGTTATTAATTATAATGTTGGTAATGGTACCATTATAATGGTAATGATAATGGTAATGAAAAATGATAATGGCAATTATAATTATTATATATTATGATATTGATAATGATAATGACAATTATTATGAGGCCTAAAAAGATTGTGTGTTTGTCCTCCCATGCCGGAAATTGTATAGAAGGGGCAGTGGAAAAAAGCTTTTTTTGTTTTAATATTTTTTTCAAGATTACCCGTTAGAAGGAATAAAAATAACCCAAAGTTGACATTTTGCAATTATTGTAGGTATAGAGTGGCAATATCTTACATCGGACAACAACTTTAAACAACTTTGTAAGGCATCTGGCAAAAAATAAAGATCAATTCACTCACATTTTTTTTTTAATTTGTAAAAGAAAAAAGCTAAAAATACCCTTTTTAAAAAAGTTTTTTGTTTTGCCGTCCCTACTTTGTGAGGAGGGCAAACAAATAATTTTTAGGCCTGATAATAATAATGTATAGTATTATTAAAACTAATGACAATATTATTTTATGGAAGATGAAGATTAGAATGATAATATTGATAATGATAGTAATAAATGATACGTAGCCAATAATGATAATAATAGGCCTATATAAGCCTATAATAATAATGCTAATGAATGCTTGCTGCTAGTGATAGTGATTATATTAATGACAGTGGTGACTGATTAATAAATACAATATAAAGGTAGGAGAATAACCCATAACTTGCAGCGTCATTGTGCTAAATTGTGAATGGGTGTGGTTCGTGACTACCTCGCAACCGAAAGAGGGGCTTAAAATGCTATTCATGTTCACATCATTCCACAACGACATGGGCTGAAATGAACCATAACATCGGGGTAACCCCCTACTCTTCCGAAAGATACAATGGAGCCAGATGTATACATTGAACCTCCATTTTAAAGTCCTTATCCGAGAAGACTTGGTTATACTAACCGAACCCTGGGTGAGGAGCGGCTAAAATCAGTGCCAATTGTTAAAACGTTGTAGTTAGCAGCGCCCCTGCCAAACGAATAATGATAATAGAATAATAATAGGCCTAGTAATTTTAAAACGAATAATGATTATAAAATAATTGTGATATTAAAGCGAATAATGATAATAGAACAATAGTAATATTAAAACGAATAATGATAATAGAATAACAGTGATATTAAAGCGAATAATGATAATAGAACAATAGTAATATTAAAACGAATAATGATAATAGCATAATAATAGTAATATTAAAACGAATAATGATAACAAAATAATTGTGATATTAAAGCGAATAATGATAATAGAAAAATAGTAATATTAAAACGATTAATGATAATAGAATAATAATAGCAATATTAAAACGAATAATTAATAATAATAGTTATATTAAAAAAAATAATGATAATAGAATAATAATAGTAATATTAAAAATAATAATGATAACAGAATAATAATAGTAATATTAAAACGAATAATGATAATAGAATAATAATAATAATAATAATAATAATAATAATATTAAAACGGATAATAGTAGGCCTAACAACAATAGTTATATTACAACGAATAGCTTAATATTGGTATTTTATCGACTATAATGATTAAAAACAATAATGATAACTCTATTGATAATTATTATGATCAGGCAAAAAAGAACAAATTTGTTTTTCCCAAGCCCAACCGACCCAAAATCCTATGTAAAAAAGTAGGTCTAAGT